TGCTGCATGAAGGTTTCAAACATGGTAGTCAAATGCGATTTTTTTTTTCTTGTTTTCAGAAATTTATGTTCATAAATGCTAGCAACATGCTGGCAGTTAATTTTTCATGGTGTATAAGTTTGCTTTTTTGAAAGCAATGATGAGATACTTGGAAGTTACCTGATGCTTATGTACATCTATAATATGGATATATAAATCAGAAACTCAATTTAGGGAAAGTGGTATGTGTTTTATACACTGAAATGAAAGACTCAATATGTTTGGCCATAAAAAAAAGGACTCAAAATGTCATTTAATTTTTGCAATTGCATTCTAATTACATTTAGATTAAATTGTATATAATTAGTTGGGGATTTCTTTTTATTTTATACAATTGACTTATTCTTGTACAATTAGGTTTTATTACCTTTCTTTCTTTATGTACACATATGTAACCCTATATATACCTCCTTAGAGCACTTTCATCCGTTGTGCCATGACAAAGGGCAAATAAGGGTAGACACTATTCATGTCAATAGTGACTGCCTTAGCAATTTTTTTTTTTTATGCATTCTCACTCATTGCCATGGGAACCTAAGGACAACCACTATTCACATGGGATATGAGGAGAGGAATTTGTATGGATTTTGGTGTGGGAAGTGAAGAACATGGCTAGGTATTTATAGAAAAAAAAAATCTGAATTTTTTGATATTTAAATTGGTCGCTGACATCACATTGACATCAACTTGCCCAGTTTCATGGCCCACTTCTTGCCATAACAATTTTTCTTAGGACCAAGGTTGTTTTTAGAGCCTAAGCCCCCTTTTGCCATGGCAAAAGGAGATGGGGTGGAAGTGCTATGTGACCTTGAATTTGTGTTACAACCTTAGCCCTATCACTTAATGAAAATTAAATCTTTGTACAGCTGACTTATCCAAATTTCATATCATCAATCTTCTTATTTTTAGATATCTATACGCATTAATTTATAATCCCACAAACTAAAAAAGGGAAAAAACAGAAGAAGAAGAAGAAATTGAAGTACAAGAGCCATGCGACAAGATTGCCAACTTTTACCAGCAAAAACTTTTGCCTTGGCCGCATAATTTCATTATCACCGAAAGTGGTTTGTGCCTTATTATTAGTGGTGGCACAAGTGTCATGTAAATTTAAATCCATGAACTGAAACAGACTCACACTGTTATAATCACCCTTACCAAAACAAGTATTTTTTAGTGTTCTAGATTTTGGAGGGGTTCCCACTATTAGACCTTTTCAATTGATTTGATCTCTTTTCTCAACCGAACGTTCGTACGTTATTACTTTGCGAACGCTATTATAAATAGGGAGTAAAATATAAATGGATGGTAAAAAATATATGATGAGAAAATATATATATTTATAGGGTTTAGGGAAGGAAGATTGGGATATGGAAGGTGTTTTGCATGAAACAAACAAACAACCGAATTTATGCATCCAATTTGCAAGTTGCAATTTGATGGGTGAGAGTGACAAGCTGAGAACTTTTCCAATTCACATCACCAAAACAACAGATTATTACGTAACTGAATTTTACTATATAGAGAACTTGGTCACTACTGAACCAGGCTAACATATCATCACGTCACATACGTAGTGGTATTACTCTCTCTCTCTCTCTCTCTCTCTCTCTCTCTCTCTCATGCCAATATTTTAACCCACACGACCCAATAACATATTATAGCCCATAAAGTTTGATCGGAAATTAGACTCTATCCAAATTCTTCGACTTTTCAATTCAATGTACCACTCCATGTATGGCTCAATGTCACTTTTCTACACAACAGTTGTTAGGCTTAACCAAAGAGAGTTATTAGTGGCACTCCAAAAAAAATCATCATTCGCTCCTTTAGTATTTCTTAGAGTGCTAGTAAATTACCTTTGTTGACGACTAAAGTACTACGTCAGAACATACGTCAATAAGGCTTCAAAAAAAAAAAAATTATAAACCCGAAGCTCTTTAAGGATTGAAGTATGTCAAAAGGTACTTAAAAACCTCAGAGTAATATTAACCTTTAAAATCACAAACCATCCAAAAAACAAAAAGTGTAAATGAAATGGAGAAAAATGATTTGGGAGTCCTTATCATGTTAACATCAGGATTGATGGTCTTTACACAAGTTGTAGTTGGAGCTCTATCTCTTTCTACTTCATTTCCGTCTTCTAATAATTTTCTTCCATCGACTTCACTTGATGAACTTTCTGTTATATGTAATTTCCTCAAAAAACACAATATAGATGTCATTTGCTTCGCAGAGGTTGTATCAAAATGTTCACAGAACGAATCATCAGATGAGGAGTTCATGAAATGTATCAAGTTTCATCTGAAAAAAGATTGTATAGAAAAGTCCAAAAGACTCTAGCTTTAGTGTGATTTTGGTAAGTGAGATGTTTCTTTCTTTTTAAGTTCATCTAAGCAAACAGTTGAGGCTTACAAACTAGGTTAACTATAAGAAAGTATAAAGATGGTAGTCAAAATAATTATTTATTATTTATTTTTTGTTCATTGCAAAAATGATGTTGATAAATGTTTTTTTCTTTCAACGAGCAGCCAATGTCCGTCAATTTGTCATGATTGTAATTTTTTTTTCTTTTTCGGTTCAAATGGCAGGAAAATGAGATATGTGGACCTTGACGATGCTCATGTATGGGTCTTTTTGGGGCCGATTCTATTGGAAACACTTTTGTTCATAAGCGCTTTTGTTAGAAACGCTTATTACAAGAATGTCGAAATGTTTGTTATAAATCTAAGTGCTTCCTGAAAAATAATTAATTGTAAGTGCTTCATATATAAGCATATGTGTGGTGCTTCTATGACCATACGCATTTTCAAATTATTCTGCATAACTCAGTAAGAAACGCTTTTAGTTGCCAAAAAACACTTTTATCTCTTCTAGAAGCACTTGTCATATATATGTTTTTGGTTTAAAAATTAGAATTTATTGTTTTTATGCTTTTTAACAAGGAAAATGGTATTAAGCTTGGGTCATTTTCTCAATGACTACATAGGGGGTGCCGGCACATCTGCTTGAATTTTCTGCTATCTAAGCAACTATTTATTATAATTATTATTTTAATAATATACTAAACTCACACTACATTAGTGGGTCCTTTGCTAAGCTCCTTACTCAAGTTTTATTAGTGCGATCAGAAAATGCTCCATCTTCCTCACTTTCTGCTTCACTTGTTCTTGACCATTTTGTTTCATTCACTTCAGTCAAGGAAGATTGTATGTAACGGCCCAAAACGCTTAAGCATTGGTGTAATTGCAAAATTCTATAGTAAGGGTGCAATCTAATATAAAAAAAATTATTCTCACCCCATTCTGTTTTACTATTGACCCAAATTCAAAACACATAACATACATGCATTTACATATAATAAATATCTATATAATTCTTAGAAACTATAGATTTTAAGGGGACTGTATTAAAAATTAATGTATGGAACCTGGCACCATGTTTCGATATTTCGGGGATCTGAAAATTACATGAGTAATTCTTCGTGGACATGAACAAGGTGCGATAGATCGCCCTTTTGATTTCAACCATCACAATGGAAAGCTAGCATTGATATCAGACCCAGTAATGCTATCTCAAAGTACTTACAGCATCAGTAACTTCAAAATTTACCTCACTATGAACATGGCATGGTATCAAAATATTATCAATTCCTTGTTCTCGAGCTTTTTCGTTGAAGCTGAAGCCCAGACGTGGAAGCTTTCTAAAGGCGTTCCATGTTCTGCTATACCACCATAACAACATCCGGATCGGGGAGACTAGTTAGTGTAACAAGAAATGAATTCGAATAGAGGAGTAAGTAATGGTATCCAATCCTGCGTGCTTGCAATTCTATTCCAGCATTGCCTTAAAACCAATGGCATCAACTGGAGACTCAAATAGCTTCACTGAAGTCTTCAACTCATACCACAAATCAGCTCACATGCTGCTTTGATCTATAAATAGTCAGAAGAAAAAAAAAATCAACTAAACCAAAAATGCAAGGATAACTAAACCAAGAGAGCTTGAGAACGTCCAGTTCTTGCGAACATATACAATAAGTGCCAATAATTTACTGATAATTTATTATTCCTCTTTACTGACTAATCTATGCTATCTAAAGTACTTCCTGACTAATCACCAGGAAATTGCATCATTGAATAGGAACTATACAATGTAAACCAGAAGAATATTCCTTTTGTTGGACATGATGAAACAGAAATGCTAACAGAAAACACCGATCAACTTCACTTCAAAAATTGTTAAACATAGGCAACCCAATATTGGAAACGTAATTTCCACATTACTATCATCAAGTTAGATGAAAGAATTTTAGACACAAAGGATCTAGAAACTTAAATGTTGTCAAGCCAAGGTTCTCTATTATCAATATTTTCAAGAAACACTCTGTAACGTTTATTTGCATCGTCTAAATAAAACACCAACCTCTGTACTAAAATAATAATTGAAATAATAGAATAAGAAGGCCATCTATCTAGACGGAAAACAGAGTTTCACCATCAGGAACAAAAGCGATTCCCCATATCAGTCTTGTATGACAACATTGTAACTTAAATGTTCTCAGTTGCAACGAGTTTTTCATTGTCATTTGTCCATTTTAAAACTATTGTGGTTCCACTATTCTCCCAAGCTATGGAGCCTGGACCATGGTATATGTCCCGTTGATAAGAGAACAAACTTCCTCTCAACTTCATTATCAATTAAAGAAAAGAGCCCAGCATGTACCTGTAACACCAGGAATCCCTTCATTCCCACAGACATTCTTTCCGTAGTCAATACCCAGAGTTTTTTTGTAAAAGAAAAACTTTACCTTTCAACCTTTCTTCACTAAACCCATGTTTGCCTAGTGCTTTCTCTTGCTACTTCTCACGAAGCAGATGTCTTCCAAAATGTGCTTTTCTGATTTTATCTTGGAATTTGAAGTACCCAAGACACAAAGTACCTCATCACCCTCAGCAGGTTGGACATAAATTCTTGGGACATCATATAAAAGGACTACTCATTTATCATTTCTTTTTTCTTCCCAAACACCACAATAATGGTGACCATAGTGCAAAAGACCACTCATATATTCATAGTCCATTGCATACTGCTGCTAAGTGGTCATTTAAACCATTCAAAACAATGTAAAGTTCTTTTCTTTGCTTATGCCTTGTGTCATGGGCTAGGAACTCATGGATCTTGTTCCCCATTTGGATTGAGCTACAACCAGGAACCTTTTCTATTCCCTGCTGTCTCATGACTTGCCTATAGGTCAACACATCTTTCCATTGTCCCATTGATGCACTCAAATTCGAAATAAGAGTTAAATAGCTGGGATTTGCAGGCTCCTGCTCCATAATCCGTCTGGTTAGAGATTCCAACAGATCTCCATTTCCATGAATCTTACAGGAACCTAGTAGACTGGCCCAGATGACAGCATTTGGCTCCAAATGCATGTTTTCTAAGAACATGACTGCTTCTTCCAACTTCCCGGCCCGACCTAGAAGGTCAACCATGCAACCATAGTGCTCTATTCGGGGTTTGATGCCAAACTCTTGTTCCATCTGATCAAAAACTCTTTTACCCTCTTCCACAAACCCTCCATGAGTGCAAGCTGACAGAACAGCAATAAAAATGACATCATCTGGTTTAGTTCCCTCTGAACACATTGTATCAAAGAGAGCTATGGCTTCTCTGCACAACCCATTAACAGCTAGACCTGACACTATCGTTGTCCATGTAATTATACACCTTTTAGTCATCTTTTTAAAAACTGCTTTTGCATTTTCTACATGTCCACACTTTGCAAACATGTCTATTAGCGCATTGCCTAGGGGAACAGACAAGTCAAACTTGTTTCTCTCAATATAGGACTCAATCCATTTTCCATGTTCTAGAGACCCCAAGTGAGTGCATGCGGATAGTAAGCTAATCAAAGTACTCTGATCAGGCCTGCACTTGCCGTCTATTAACATCTTGCGAAACACACAAAGAGCTTGATCAAACATGTGGTTATGAACATAACCGGAAATCATGGCATTCCATGATACAACATTTTTAAAAGGCATCTGATTGAATATGTTCCATGCAGATTCAAGATCTCCAATCATGCTGTATCCCGAGACCATGGCCGTCCAAGAAACTACTGTTTTCTTGGGCATCTGCTCAAATAAACACTGCGCAGACTTGACATCACCCAACCGTATATATGCAGTTATTAATGAATTCCACGTAACTTCATTTCTTTCTGGCATCCTCTCAAAAACTGAATGAGCTAATTCCATGTTTCCAGCCTTGGAAAGACCAGAAACAACACAATTCCATGTCACAGTGCTCCTATCTGGCATTGAATAAAACAACCTCATCGCAGGTTCTATCTCACCGTGGGCCATGTAAGCAGCAATCATCGAATTCCAGGAAACCACATCTCTTTCGGGCATTTCACCAAACACCTGGAAAGCCAAATCCCAACGACCTCTGCATTTAGCATAGAAATCCAAAAGGGTATTCTGAACAAAGACACTAGAACCAAAACCCATTTTGACAACGTCACCGTGAACCATTGTCCCATCTTCAAGGGCCTCGAAAGATTCACAGCACCTAAGAAGAAAAGTGAAAGTGAAACTGTTGGGCCCAATCCCAAGCGCCTTCATTCGATCGTACACGCGCAATGCATCTATACGAGCCTTTCCTACAGAGCATTTTATCAATGTGTTGCAAGCGACAACATTGGGGCAACAAGAATTTCGAAAAACAGAATAAGCATAATGAAGAAAACCCAGTTCTGAGGAGAGAGTGAGGAGCTTGGGAAGCAAAAAGCTGTTATCTTGCAGCCCATGGACGAAAATCTGAAGGTGGGTCTGCTTCAGCTCTTTGAGAGACCTGCACTCTTGCAAGATTTTAAGCAATTTGTGATGCATTGCGATTGTTCTTCATTCGAAAGACAGTTATTCTCGTTACACGAACGGGAAAGTATAGTAAGGCATTTTATTTGGTTTGGTAAATGTCACACTTTTTTTTTTTTTTTTAATTTCATTTTTGTTTTTTGGTCCTCAGTGTGTAACATTATTATCACTTCTCCCAAATACTTTGTAGGGTTTGAAGATTAAGTAATCTAATGTTACTTCAAAATATTGTGTGTTTTTAAAAGGTTAAATGAGTCTTGGCTAAGAAGATAATGACATTACAATAACAATATGAAGTTCAAGAAAGTAATATAATTAAACTCACAGGTTTTCATTGAAAACAATCTGGTATTGCAATAGTACATATTTCCTCTCATTCTTGCAAGAGCAGAGAACACACATTATATCTTGCAAGGACAGTTTTTTTCTTTATTAATATTGTTTACAAGTGCCAAGCATAAAGAATCATACATTAATCGCCTAAAATTTACAACTAGAGAGGAAATATCATCTGTGTGGTCATAGCCCGGCATCACCTTCCATACGGGATAATTGGAAGTTGGGCCAAGGAGAAGTCAATTGGGCATTAAATATTATATAGATAATATATAATATTGAATTATCAAAAAAATGGGTCTTTGGGCGCTTGGGCACTTTAGATTTAAATTGTAGAAGATGGATTACTCATCTTGAGCTGGAATTGGTGGAATTGGTAGAGGGAGGAATTGTCGTCGTTGTGGTGAGGTAAACATGTCGTTTAGGAGAGGGAGAAGAAAGAAGAGAATAAGGGGTGGGAGAGTAAAAGAGACTTAATGTGTGTGTGTGTATATATATATATATATATAAAGTATAGCCGCACCGCTATACTATACTTAAAAATAAAAATAAAAAATAAAAATAAAAGTATTACCGCACGGCTATACTAATATTTTTTTACGTACAGCCTCGTGGCTATACTATTTAAATGTTCGAATATATTTAAAACGCATAATTGCGCCACTATACTTAAAAATAAAAAATAAAATAGTATAGCCATGCCGCTGAACTATTCTTAAAAATAAAACAATAGTATACTTAAATTTAAAAATAAAAAAATTAGTATAGCCACGCGGCTATACTATTTGAATGTTTCAATATATTGAAAACGCATAGCGTCTCTACACTTCCCCAAAAAAAAAATTGTATCGCCGCGCGGCTATACTATATTTAAAAATAAAACAATAGTATGACCGTGCGGCTGTACGTAAAATAAAAAATACAAAAGAGTATAGCCGCCCGGCTATACTATTCGAATATTCGAATATATTTGAAATTGAAACGCATAGCCGCACTGCTTTACTTAAAGATAAAAGTTAAAAAGCAGTATAGCCGCTTGGTTATACGTAAAAATACAAATAAAATTAGTATAACCGCTCGGCTCTATTGTTTTTTTTTTACATGTTTTTTTCTAACTTCAAAGATAACCCGATTCTTGCATCATTTGGCCTTTCTTGAGATGAAGTTGGTTCTATATTAAGGAAAATAAGATTGTTTCATAAAAATAATAGACTAGTTTAAAGGATTGTTGTGGCTTTACTCATTAAGTAATACTAAGAGTAATTTATAAAACGTAATAATCTTTCAATTAGATTCTAGAAGTCGACATATAATAATCTTTCGATTCGATTCTAGAAGTCGACAAGAAAATTTGAATGGTGGAAGAAAAAAAAATGTCCAACTGAACTATATATGTAATTTGTTGAGGCTTAAACTAGCAGTTAGGTCTCGTTTGATGACTAGTATTGAATTGGATTGGATAACTCCTTATATTTAAATCTAGCAAAACTAAATTGACATATAAATATAATAAACGCATCCTCACCTATAGAACATAAGCGTCCTCTAATTGGCAAGAACAATACAATTATATAAAATAAATGGTGCCTCCATTCCAATTGGCTCTGAGCGAGAAAGCATGCTGGTACAGAATCAGAACTTATTATCTAGTGCCAAAGGCAAATTGTACTAAACCAATACCAATATGAAGAATAATATTTGAAATTGCTTACCAACACCATTATGGCATAACCAAAGCATGTTGAAGCAAAAATTCTCTTTGCTTTTAATTCCTGTAGAAGGAAAAAAATCGAAGCATGATCAAAATACGTGCGGTCCTCCTCACTGGCAAAGAGCCATCGTGCTTGTTCTCCATCTTTCTCCATTTTCCTTCGTTCCTTTTAGGCCTAAATTCATCAGCATCAAAAACCAAATAAAAACAATGAAAATTGGAGAAAAGCAGAGGTTTGGAGCCACCAACGTCTTCTTTTATGGTGTATTTATTAATCAAGAATTTGAATTCTTATAAGGAATTGAATTCCACCTATGCAGAATCCCTATGTTTACTTTACATCAAAAAATTAAAAAATAAGTGAGACCCACACAAAATTAGGAATTGAATTCATGATTTTGGAGGAATTCAATTATCTGATAGGAGGTGGTATTCTAATTCCTGAAGAACTAACTTATTATGAATTCATCTTTTTTACCCATTATATCCTTACACAATTTAAAATTTTTCAAAATTGTCATTTACTTTAACCCAACAACGAGGACATTTTAGTAATTAGCATCACTCCTACCCCAATTCCATATGGTTTAATAAACAACTTCAATATGAATCAGGAATCTAACTCCCCTCAATCATATGGTTTAGTAAACAACTTAAATAGGAATTCAGAATCTAATTCTCCTCAATTTAATTCCTCATAATCTAATTACGGATTAGTAAACATGCCATTATAGTCCATCTATCATTTCCAAAGAGGCCTTATCTTAGAACCCTTTCACCCCATTCACCTTCCTGGCTTGGGTTTCATGTCACAGTCATGCCCAAAAGAGGTGTTCTCACCTACCAACTGCTCCACATGACCAAGTGAGCAGGTGTTACAATATCCACAATATACAACATATACATATATGTTTATAATAGTAGTAGAAATATAGCAATAGTAGTCTTTGTCATTAGTATAAGACAATCTATAAGTTATGGCAAGTTTAAATCTTAATTATATATAAAGAGCCAACAATACACAAAATGTCTGAGCATTTCCTTGAATGCAGTAATGTATTTGGATGAAACTATTTTTTATTCTTACGAAAATGCAGTCATTGCAGCAAACATAAACAAATTGGCTGAAAAAGAAAATCAACTAACTTCCGACAACAGACTCAGTAAAGAAATAACTTGAGAACCAAACAACAAACTCAGTAAAGAAATAACGTAATAAAAAATACATAACACTTCAAAAATTCATGATGAAAAAATAACAAAACCCATCATTTCATAAAATGAACGACCAAAGAAAGAAATATGAGACTTGTCGCAACATCTCTCTGTTTTCTCTTCAAAGTATTCTCTGCAAAAGAGTGAAGCACAAAAAACGCCACCATGTCATTTGAATTCGTAGAACAAAACCTAATACATTTTATCAAACACCTACCCTGCGAGTTAACCGTGCGAGCAAACACCTTCCTTTTTCTCGGAGTTGCAGAGACTGTTGTTCTTGATAACCAATGAAAACAAGGAAATTATAATAGAGAACCCAAGAAAGATGGAGGGTATTCAATCCACATCTTTGACCTCATCAATTTGCAGCAACGTTGCCTGATTACAAGTTGGTGGAACCCAACACCCAATTGAGATGGACCAAAGTCGTTTGCCAGTGAGAAAAGGGAACTTGCAAACCAATACCCAATTCAATAACCCCAAGTTATAGCAAATCACAAATGGCTCAGACTCCATGAACAACTTCGACTCAAAGTTGGGTTTTTGGGGGTTAAACTTTTCTGGGTATCATGAAAGTTTGAGGATTTGGTGACAAAAAATCAATATTTTTCAATTATTTTTCTGGGGCGTTTTGTTTTGGGTTTTAGCTTGGTTTCATGGCCTTATCCATGTCTGGTGTCTCAAATCAAAAGCACGTCAAACAAAGACATGAGTTCTTCTGCAACACAAATTCAAATATAAGTCCTGCAAATTGGTCTTACCTTATACGAAATCACCTCTCTCAAGGATCACCTAGACAAGCGCTTCTGGTTTACACCCGAGTTCGGCATCAAGGAATCTACATTGTAGGCCTACTCCCTTTGATTCTCAAGGCTTGTGCTTCTCTTTCCTCCATAAATCATGGGAAGGCATTGCACGCAGAGTCTATGAAGTCTGGTATGAATTGTGATGTGTTGGTTGGTACCTCGTTAGTTGACATGTATGCGAAATGCGGGGATGTTTTTGAGTCCCGGAAAGTGTTTGATTATATGCCTGAGAGAAATGTGGTGGCTTGGAATGCAATAATTGGAGGGTACTTGAGAAATGGGGATACAGCGTCTGCAGTTTTCTTGTTTGAGAAGATGGCAATGCGGACATCTGTGACTTGGATTGAGATGATCGCTGGGTTTGCGCGAAGTGGGGACACTGTGGCTTCTAGGCGGTTCTTTGATCAGGTTCCACCTGAGTTGAAGAATGTGGTTACGTGGACTGTGATGGTTGAGGGGTATTGTAGCAATGGGAAGATGGAGGCAGCAAGGGAGGTTTTTGAGGCAATGCCACAGCGCAATTTCTTTGTGTGGTCATCAATGATTTCCGGGTATTGCAAGAAAGGTGATGTTAGGGAGGCCAAGTTCATCTTTGATAGAATCCCAGTCCGGAACTTGGTGAACTGGAATTCTTTGATATCCGGGTATGCACAAAATGGGTTTTCTGAGGAGGCTTTGAAAGCATTTGGGAAGATGCAAGCTGAAGGCTTTGAGCCCGATGAAGTTACTGTTGTGAGCGTTTTATCTGCATGTGCTCAGTCTGGGCTTTTAGATGTTGGCAAGAATATACACGATATGTTAGGTCATAAAAGGATAAAGCTTAGTCAGATTGTTCTGAATGCACTTGTAGACATGTACGCAAAATGTGGCGATTTGGTCAATGCAAGGTTGATCTTTGAGGGGATGACTGAGAGGAACAGTGTCTGTTGGAATGCTATGATTTCAGG